CAGATGGTCAATTGTTTCTATTTTTTTTGTATTATTATTAAATGAAATTTAGAATAGTCTGTAATTTTTTCAAGTAGTTCTTAACATATTGCATTTGTCTTACAACTTCCTTAATACACTACGCAAAAAAATTAGGGGAACACTTTAAAACCTGCAAATTTGGTCGACATTGAGAAAGTAATATTTCGGCTTCCAGGAATCGTAGAATATTGTTCATTAGCGCGTTTTAAAGAGTAAAGCCTCTACTTTAAAATGGCTTAAGTGAAATTTTGCATCCCATTAAACTGTTTTTTTCGTGAAAACCACAAGCAGAGAGTGTTAGAGTCTTAAAAATGTTATGACATTGCAGCCTTCCACGGGGAAAGCAAGGACGAAACGAAAAATGTTACAACATCAGTTTTGAAACCAAAAATATTCCCTTTAAAATGGCATAAAGAAAATTGTTCTAGCTCGCCTAGGAGCTGAGTTATCAGGTTCCAAAGTAGACCCTATTTTTTGCGAAATTTTGATTAAGTACCGCCGGCATCGCGTTATCAGATGTGCACCATGAGGAGGTTGTTCAGTCGGAGCACATCATGGGGTGTGTGTGTGTGTGTGTGTGTGTCACAGCAGAGATAAGGACCACACGGTTCGTCACTCTCGTGGTATTTAATGACTCCAAATCCTCTCTGCCGTGTGTGTGTGAGTGTGAGAGAGAGAGAGAGAGAGAGAGAGAGAGAGTGTGTGTGTGTGTGTGTGTGTGTGTGTCACAGCAGAGGTGAGGACCCCACGGTTCGTCACTCCCGTGGTATTTAATGACTCCAAACCCTCTCTGCTGTAAGTGTGTGTGTGTGTGTGTGCGTGCGTGCGTGCGTGCGTGCGTGCGTGCGTGCGTGTGTGTGTGTGTGTGTGCGTGTGTGTGTGTGTGTGTGTGTGGGTAGGTGGTTATGAAATGTGGACGGGTGGTTATAAAATGTGGATGGGTGAATATATGTATGAGCGCGCACCACTCAATATGAGGTATTCCCGCCCCTTCAGCGAATCATCTCAGAAGTTTATTCCTCATATTGATACATCTAGTGATTTCGTTTTGAGGAATTTTCTGCCAAATCTCTTGGAGAATTTTTTCGAGTTCTGCGAGCGTCGTTGGCTGCCTTGGATAATCTCTCAACCGACTACCCATCAAGTCCCAGACGTGTTCAACAGGATTCAGGTCTGGGCTTACTGCTGGATGATTGAACCGTGATATCGTGATCCTGTAGAAATTGTCTTGTCAGCGCAGTGTTATGAGGACGAACATTAACCTGCATAAGAATGAAATAGTCTCCAATTCTTTGCCGGAAGGATAGAACTTCTGGCCGAAGAATCTCATCAATGTATCGGACTGTTGTCTACGACCTTGGCCCCTTCTTCATATCCCGACCAATTATTTAAATTTTTTCCGTTTTAGCTTACATCTTTAATACGAGAAATTGTACATCTTACACAAAAATGAGACATCTTAACGAAAATGAAGTGGCACAGGTAATCGCTTTGTTGGAAGATAGTAGATCTCAGCGATACGTAGCTAACAGATTTAATGTAAGTCGATCTGTTGTAGCTCGTGCTTGGACACGTTATCACGATACTGGGCTTTACCAACGAAATAGAGGTCAAGGTCGTAGACGTATGATATCCGCTCGAGAAGACCGTAATATTGTTAATATGGCTGTAAGAGGACGTACAGTAAGTGCTCGTTACATTGGAGCCCAGTTGTTTCAGGATCGGCCTATAAGCAATCAGACAATCCGGAATCGCTTGCGAGAAACTGACCTGAGGTCACGAAGCCAAGCCCGTGTGCCGAAATTGATGGCTGCTCATCAGCAAGCTCGAATGGAATATGCAAGGACTCATATCGACTGGATTCAGAGATAGTGGAGATAATGGAGGCAAGTTCTTTTCGCGGACGAATCTCGATTTTGTCTTTTTACTAATGATAGACGAGTTCGTGTCTGGCGTCGACGTAATGAAAGATTCGATCGTGCCTATGTCACAACAGTTCGAGCGTTTAATGGCGGCTCAATTATGGTTTAGGCAGGAATCACAATGACTGAACGTACAAACTTAGTGATAATTCCTCCCGGGTTTGACAGCAGCCCAGATACATCGATGAGATTCTTCGGCCAGAAGTTCTACCCTTCCGACAAAGAATTGGAGACTATTTCATTCTTATGCAGGTTAATGCTTGTCCTCATAACACTGCGCTGACAAAACAGTTTCTACAGGATCACGATATCACGGTTCAATCATCCAGCAGTAAGCCCAGACCAGAATCCTGTTGAACACGTCTGGGACTTGATGGATAGTCGGTTGAGAGATTATCCAAGGCAGCCAACGACGCTCGCAGAACTCGAAAGAATTCTCCAAGAGATTTTGCAGAAAATTCCTCAAAACGAAATCACTAGATGTATCAATATGAGGAATAGACTTCTTGAGGTGATTCACCGAAGGGGCGGGAATACCTCATAATGAGTAGTGCGCGCACATACACCTATTCATCCATCCACATTTCATAACCACCCGTCCACCTACCCACCCGTCCACCTACCCACCCGCCCACACACATACGCGCGCGCGCGCGCACATGCACACGCACACCCCATGATGTGCAAACTCCGACCGAGCAACCTCCTCGTAGTGCACATCGAATAACGCGAATGCCGGCGGTACTTAATCAAAATCTCGTAAAAAATAGGGTCTACTTTGGAACCTGATAACTCAGCTCCTAAGGCGAGCTAGAACAATTTTCTTTATGACATTTTCTTTATGCCAAAGGGAATGTTTTTGGCTTCAAAACTGATGTGGTAACATTTTTCGTTTCGTCCTTGCTTTCTCCGTGGAAGGCTGTAATGTCATAACATTTTCAAGACTCTAACACTCTCTGCTTGTGGTTTTCACGAAAAAAACAGTTTAATGGGACGAAAAATTTCACTTAAGCCATTTTAAAGTAGAGGCTTTACTCTTTAAAACCCGCTAAGGAACAATATTCTGCGATTCCTGGAAGACGAGATATTACTTTCTCAATATCGATCAAATTTGCAGGTTTTAAAGTGCTCCCCTAATTTTTTTTGCGTAGTGTATTTACCGTTAATTTTAATAGTGTTACAATGTATCCTAGAGTTACGGTACTTTTAACCCCAAACCGATGTTGTCAAAATTTATATAAATATATTTGAAACCACTTTAAAATATCAAAAAAAAACATGCACATAGCTTGAGGAAACGTATTTCAGAATTATTAAAATGAAAATATGATATTGTTACGTCCGGGAGGACTCCACGATTTCCTCGTTTCGAGATCACTTAATAGGGTGATTGTTGCGACAGGATGCGAGAAAAAAATGCGAGAGTTAACGGTCACCGATCGACGAGCGTGACAATATGTAGAAAATGTGTCGTTGAAAGCCTTCCCAACGATTTTGGAAAGATAACAAAAACATAGATACCCAGGATCACCCGATCCGTGATAATAAAATTTATGACAGATTACAAACCATGTCGAGAATGTTCGTTTTAAACTCGTTCAGTTTCAATAAGTAATATCTAAAAACGGATCGGGAATCCTGGAGTAAATAGAAAGTCGCATTCCCAAACGCATGTAACGTGTTGAATGGCGTTTTTTCGTTAACAACAGGAAGTAGTAGAATAGAAATAGTTTAACAAGAATAAATTTTAATTTTTTGCCGACGATCATAAAATTCTGAAGAAATATTGTCTAGACGAGAAGATGCACGTTCAAGTACCTAATAAAAGAGAAATCGGAAATAAGAAAAAAGGGAGAATGCGAGTTTTCAAATTGTCGTGGTCGGGTCGTTCGGAAGGAACGATGAGTAAAATACCCCTTCTCTTCAGAGAGAATACCAAAAACTAAACTCGCCAATAGGTGACCGTGGATCTGAAAATCTAGAGAAGGTGATGACGTATCACCAATAAGTTCTTAGGGGATTGAAACTTGCAGTGCGGGCGGAGCAAATTTTGAAAGTAGTTCACCAGTAGGAATATGAAACACAAATTTCCTACAAAAGCAGAAAAATCCCTCCAACTCGAATCCTCGATTTTTCCCACTCAATATGTTTCATCAGAGAACCACCCTCTGAAACTCTCTATATAAACCGTGACACCGCGAGACTCGCTCTTTTTATTTTTTGATTTTACTCTGTGTCCGGTCCTAAACCAGTCCGTCATTCTTTCGCAAGTCCAGCAGTTATTTCGCTCAATTAAGATATATATATATATATATATAGAGTCTGTTCAGTGTATAATAGGAGATCTCGCCTAATACATCAAGAATGAGTTTGTCTGCGAGCTACTCCAAGTCCAGGACACTAAAGCCTACCGCAACAGTAAGTCTTTTCTTCCATATTCTTCTATTTAGTCGCGAATCTGTAATAACATAATTCACAACCTAGTGCCACGAAGGGGGAACAATCGCCCGTTTAGAGGTTGGCTCAGAAGTCGGGCCTAAAGGGAAGCGCGAAGGTTGTTGGATGAAGCAGAATTCCAACGCTCCGCGAATTCAAGAAATAACGAGAATCGTTCAACAACACCACCACCGGCACCGCCGGCACCAGCGGAATCACCGCAGCCACCAATTCGGCCG